AAACACTTGCCCTGCCCTTGGGGGAGGCTGGGGGGGGGGAGCACATGGCCTGTCCTCCTGGGGAGTGGAGAGCACATGGCCTGTACTCCCAGCTACTTTTAGCTTTGTTCCTCTCAACTCTCTTCAAGGGTTAAGAAGGACACTTAAGACCCAGAAAACCTAGCTCCAAGAGTTTAAATGATTGGAGTAATTTCCAATTCATTCTCTCTGATTATGTCTGTGGTTCAAGATGTGAGCACTCCTGTTCCAACCACCAGGCCCTGTGCTTGAAGCCATGCTTCCCTGCCTTGATGGTGACACTTATTTTACCTATTTAATTCTCTGGGACCATAAGGCCAAATGAAGCCTTCTTTCTATAAGTTGCCTTGGTCATGGTGTTTGATCACAGCAATAGAAAAGTGACTAAGACAAACACCCAGTCTAATATACACACACACATGCTCGTACCATGTACAGAAGCCAGATCTCTTCTTGACAGAAGCTCAAATTATTTATTAGACGTTTTTAGTCTGATATAAGCATTTTTTATTCTCTGACTGGAGGTGACATGCTTTGGATATGTCTGTGGGGAATTTCTCTTACCTGCATTAACGTAGAAAGACATACCCACTGTGGGTAGCAACACTCCCTAGACAGCAGATACCAGAGTGTATAAGAATGGAGAAAGTAAATTGAGCACTAGGATGTCTCCACCCTTTCTGTGTTGTTGTTGTTTTGGGATGGTTTTGTTTTTGCTTTTTTAGATAGTGTCTTTCTGTGTTGTCTTGGAGCTGTCTATGTAGATCAGGCTGGCCTTGAACTCACAAGTGCTGGGATCAAAGGTGTGTACCACCATACCCGGCTTTCCTCTCTGTTCTCAACTGTGATACAGTGTGACGAATTCTCTCAATCAGTTGTTTCAGTGACTGCCCTGACCTGAAGGACTGTAGACTAGAATTCTGAGTCAAATAAATCCTTTCTCTTATAAGTAACTTTCCCAGGATATTTTATTACAATAACAGGAAAAGAAGGACATACTTTGCAATACTTGAGTGTAGGGCTGCAGAGAAGGCTCAGTGGTTAAGAGCACTTGCTATTCTTGCTGAGGGCCTGGGTTTGTTTCTCAACACCTACATTAGACTATTCAGAACCACCTGTAACTCTTCTTCTGGGGGATCTGATGCCCTCTGCTGGCTCACCCAGGCACTGCATGTATATTGACCTCAATATACTCAGACATATACAACACAAATAAGTAAATCTTTAAAGGATTAAGTATAAACTAACATTTTGAAACATTT